TGGTGTATAATCTTTTTGAGGTGCTGTTTGTTTGCTATGTACTCTAATCTTTAAATAAAAAATATTTTACATTTGTTTATTTAGTGTTTGTGTTTGCTGGGTAAGGTGCATATATAGAGGTCATAGAACAATGTGTGGGGAGTCAGTTCACTCCTATGTGGGTTCCAGGGATTTAACTCAGGTTATCAGGTTTGGCATCAAGTGCCTTTACCGACTGTCTTTAATTACTGCACGCTTGCTATGAGGAAACACCACGCACAATACAACTTTTAAACTAAAGCATTTAGTTGGAGGCTTATTTACAGTTTCAGAGGGTTAGTCCATTATCATCATGGTGGAAGGCAACAGGGAAGGATGTAGTAGCTGAAAGCTCACATCTGATCATCTGATCCACAAATTTCGGGGGTGGGGGAGGGGAAGGAAAAGAGATAGATAGATAGATAGATAGATAGATAGATAGATAGATAGATAGATTTGGCCTCGCACAGCTTTTGAAACCAGAAAAACCACCCTCAGTAATATACCTCCTCCAATTAGGTCACACTTCCTAATCCTTCCTCAACAACTTACCAATTAGGGATCAAGCATTCAAATATATGAGCCAATGAGGGCCATTTTCATTCAAACCACCACACCTCCTGAGCCATCTGGCTGCCTCTCTGTACTTTAATCTTTATAATACAAATAAGGCAATAATTATTTATACATTTTAAGAGGAAATGCAGCCAAAAGCTGAACAGAAACATGCCTTTCATGTAGTTAATGTTGAACCAATATTACATGTATACACATATAATTATTCAAGAATAATTCTGTGATTTTTTTTTATTTTATTTTTTCCCTATGAACATGCTAGGCTGGTAACTATTGGCAAGGAAAAGGCCAGAGATAGTTGATATGCAGCAATAACAAAAACAAAAAACAGTAATAATGGTAGTTGCTAGAGTCTGTTTTTGTTCCTACAATGCTATTTGCTGAAGCCTTGATTTCTGTGGTGGATTGAATGAGATGTCTCCCATAGTCTTGGGAATTTGAATACTTGGCTCCCAGCTAGGGGTGCTGTTGGTGCTATTTGGGAGGCTTAGGAGGTGTGGCCTTCTTGGAAGAAGTATGTCACTGGGGCAGGCTTTGAGGTTTCAGAAGCCCTGGGACATCCCATTTGGTGTTATCTGCTTCATTCTTGTGTTCAAACTGTGGGCCTCTACTTCCTGTTCCTACCACCACGCCTTTGTTTCTTCATCATGTACTCCAATTTTCTAGGGCCCAAACTCTCTTACAAGTCACCTTAGTCATAGTGCTTCATTATTATATTGTTATCTATTATATATATTATTAATGGAAAACTAATTAATGCAGCATCTAAGGTGATAGTGTGAGGAAGTGAGGCCTTTGGGATATAGTTAAGACCTTGCCCCCAGGAATAAGATTAGTACCCTTATACAAGAAGTTGCAGAGACCTCTTTTGCTCCATCTCAATGAAATAGCACCATAAAAAGGAGCCATTTTTGACCTAGAAGGCAGGTCTTCCCTATACATCTGTTTCAGAGTTACTATTGCTGTGATGACACAGCATGACCAAAGCAACTTGGGGAAGTTGGAGATAGTCATGCTAAGTGAATTGTCAAACTCAGACATATAATAAAAAAAAAAACTCTCTCTTATAGTCATGCTAAGTGAATTGTCAAACTCAGACATATAATAAAAAAAAAACTCTCTCTTTCTCTCTCCTCTCTCGTGTGTGTGTGTGTGTGTGTGTGTGTGTGTGTGTGTGTGTGTGTGTGTGTGCTTGTTTGTATTCACTGACACCAGAGGAGGGCATCAGGTCTCCTCCATTACTTTGTCTTACTCCTTTTCAAGCAGGGCCTCTCACAGAATTGGACCTTGTGTCTTTTGGCAACGCTGGTAGACTAAGTCCCAAAGTTCTTTTTGTCTCTGCCCCACTCAGCACTGGGGCTACAGGCATGCATGGGATCATGTCCAGCTTGTTATATGAATGTTGGGATACAAATTCTGGTCCTCAAGTTTGAACAACAAGTGCTCTTAATCTTTGAGTCATTACTCAAGCCTTAGAAAAGACAATCTGAAGTAGATAGGTAAGGTACCATGAATCAGCTTTCAAATGGCAGGAGAAATGAAGAAAGGTCAACCTTGCTGTATTTCTAAGGTTGCCAGTTTCTAATATAATCATAAACAAGAATGAACTGTAGGATTTTATCCCATAATTTTTCTCATCAGTGTTCATTTTCAGAATAAAGATAAATACACAACTGAACACCTCAGCAGGTTCCAAAAGAGAAGGTGCTGTGAATTCTTTGTTTAGATTTTGTCCTTCTTTAGGACAGTGGCTGAATCATTACACTTCTGGTTTTTAATATATGACATGCAGATATGTGATAAATATTTAAATTATAAGTGAAGGCAACTTTTAAATAAGTGTGCTTAGTATACTGATCCAGGGTAGAGAGCAGAGGGATGTTTTTCTGTAAGAAGCATGGATGTCCTTATGTTCAAAGCTAACACTAGGGGAAACAGGAATGTTAAACACACAGGGTTGTCTCTTTAAAGGATGTATAACCTGTTTCCACCCAGAAGGCTGGGAGTGGACATGGTTAATTGCCTGGTAACCTTTGTACTATCTGTGTGGCCGAGTCCACATTGGATCCTCCTCCAGACCCTTATTTTGAGCATATTTTTCTCAACCTATGAGAAAACATCTTTATGGAAGATGTCACTTATACTTTACAAAGAATTTTGATATAGTCATGTCTTAAGCTTGTTGTGCATATGGAATTGAGTTAATTATCACTAGACTTTCTACCAAGTTGTGCTGTTCTTAAATATGTTTAAACTGTACAAGGTCAGACTCACGAAGTTTAAACCAACACCCGTTACTGAGTCTTGTTGAAGCCTACCGTGGATCCTCACTCTGCTGGCTCTGGTGGTCACAGAGATTCCTACAACTGCTGTTCAATGTATTGGGCTCAACACTTGGAGAAGGTAAGAATTTTTTTCTGTAAATAAGAAGTGGAGGGTAGGCGTTGGGTCCTCTCACTCAAGGGGTCCCACTGTGAGACAGTGAAATAAGTATGGGTTCTTTTCAGTACTCTGATGCAAAGCATTTTCTATGATTGAGATGCCTGTTAAACATTTAGAGGAGCAAAATATTCAGAGCAATAACTGCAACTTTGTACCAATGACTGTAAAATTCAATCCTTGTTTCCTAAACAAGGAACCATTGTTGTTGAAAATTGGAATTGCATAGGAGCCCAGAAAAAAGGGGAATAAAATCCCTGTCAGTTATTTTGCAATCTGGACTCAAGTAATGTATTGCTTGGACCATTTAAGGAAGACTGTTAAAAAAATGTCAGCTGGACACTGCAGTCAGACTTTTCTTTGGGCTGCCACCTCACAAATAATGACACAAAGACTTATTATTAACTTAAATTAACTCATATTTCTTAACCTATGTTCTTCCACAAGGCTCATTACCTCATCTCCATACTGCTTCATCCCTGTCTGGCTGGCAACTCCACCATCTTCCTTCCAGTTTTCTCTTTCTGCCCAGAAGTCCCGCCTATCTCTCCTGCCTAGCTATTGGCCATTCAGGTTTTTATTACACTAGTCACAGCAATACATCTTCACACAATGTACAAATATTCCACATCAGAACACATCTTGGCAGGTCTTGGTGGAGCCAGCCAAGTGAACTCTGAAGCCCCTTCTGGTTGGTACTGAGCCAGGTGTGTTCAGGGCTGGTTCTCTTATGTGATCTGACCAGAACTCGGAGCCCTCCGGCTCTACAGCCCTTCCTGCTGTCCAGTTCTGGTCCAGTGGGGAGGGGAGTCTGATGGCATTGCCCAGGTTAGGTGGCTCCACTGCTGCAAGACCCATTGGAGCTTGGCTGCTTAAGACATGACTACATCAAAATTCTTTGTGAAGTATAAGTGACATCTTCCATAAAGATAGGTTCTCATAGGTTGAGAAAAATATGCTCAAAATAAGGGTCTGGAGGAGGATCCAATGTGGACTCGGGCTCTGGTTTTTGTATCCTCTCACAACAGGAATAACCTAATAATGTAGTGGCAACTTGTTCCACCAATAGACATGAGGTAATGGCCTTAGGGTGTAGTTTTGGTGTGTGGACGTGACCCTTATAAGGAAGAGGAGGGGCTTGCTTGGGCTGTCTTTTGGGGTGTGGTCTGAGCATTCTGCATTGCAGACCCTGAACTTCCAGGGGTAGAAGACTGTGGCAGTTATTTACCATCATTGTGTGAGTGCTCCTCAAATAAATATCTGTTATCCTTTATTTGGGCGTTTGTGGACTTCCTTTAACCCACCTTCATAATATAGATTGGTCAATGGTCCTTTCATGGAGAAAAAATAAAACAGGTTATACATTCCTCCCCTTGAAGACATAACCCTATGTGTTTAACATTGCTGGTTCCTCTAGTGCTTATCTGTGAGCACAAGGACCTCCCTCTCTCCTATATTTTCCTCTCTGATGAACTTCCAATTCCTCCTTCACATTTAGCTCATGTTACTTTCCCCTATAACATCATCAGCCGAAATAGTAAAGTTACTGTTTTGGTTCCCTCACATTATGTGTGTATCTCTCAAACCATCTTATACCATGTGTTCATATTTCTTATTCCTCTTCTGAGACGTCTTTGGGATCAATTCTTATTACATGCACAATCCCTGATGCATACCAGGTACACACACTATTTTGGCATAGGTAAGACCTGAGGCTCCAAACCCATTTCTTTTCTTTTTCTTTAAGGTTTATTTAATGATTTGTTTATTATGTATACAGGGTTCTGCCTGCATGTGCCAGAAAAAGGCACCAGATCTCATTACCTATGGTTGTCAGCCACCATGTGGTTGCTGGGAATTGAACTCAGGACCTCTAGAAGAGCAGCCAGTGCTCTTTAACCTCTGAGCCATCTCTCCAGTCTCATCAAACCCAATTCTATACACAACAAAGAAAGAAGGATGAAATGTGCACTTGTTTGACATTTATATTTACTGAGTATCTGATAAATACTAGGCAAAAGGAGCAGAGTTACTTTTCACTCTTTGACCAGTGCCCAAGTCCTTTTAAAAAAGTCCATTCTGCCGAATTGGCCTCCACTGATTCTATGGTTAATTTTCAGGCACACTTTTTTCCAAGTAGTTTTTCACATAAAGCATGGTGGTGAGAGCCATGAATCACTCCAAAGACTGCCTGAAATACTAGAGGAGCAGACATTAATTTCATCCCAGTTTGACTAAGGATTAACCAATGGAGTATAACTCTTCCTTTTGGTGGCAGTGGAACGGAATGATACCTGAAAATGAAAAAGAGTAAACCATGTCTCCTGGACTGATACACCACTGAAAGCGTCTGATTTCTCCTAAACTAGTCATTTCTAGTTTATAGGTCTAGTTTATAGGTCTACCATACAGGTAACAAAATTACATGTTAGCAGGCTATTTTGTTTTGTTTAGCCTGTAGCTAAAAAGAATAGTTTATTAGCATCCTCCCCCACCCCCAATAGAAGGAAGGAAGGACTGAATGAATGTAAGAGAAGGGCTGGATAACTCAGTCAGTAAAATGCTTGCCATGTAACCATGAGGACCAAAGTTTGATACTCAGAATCCAGGTTAATGGAAAAAAATAACTGAACATGGTGATGTGCTTATAACCCAGTGCTGGGGAGGCAGAGGCAGAGGCAGAAGGGTCCCTGGGATTCATTGTATAATCAGCCTAATGGCAAGCTCTAGCTCAGTGGTTGTCAACTTTCCTAATGTGGGGACCCTTTAATACAGTTCCTCATGTTGTGATAACCTCCAACCATAAATTATTTTCATTGCTGCTTCATAATTATAATTTTGTTACCATTATGAATAATAATGAATGTAAATATCTGTGTTTTCCTATGATCTTAGGCAACAATTGTGAAAGGGTTGTTTGACCCCCAAAAGGGTTGCTATCCACAGGTTGAGAACCACTGCTGTAGAGCAATGAGAGACCCTGTCTCAAAAATGTAAGGTGAATAGACATGGTGGCATGTGTTCAATCCCAGCACCTTCGAAGGAAGGCAGATTTCTGACTTCAAGGCCTTCTTGGTATACATAATTCCAGGCTATTCATGGCTGCACAGTGAGATCCTGTCTCAAAAACGTAAAATCAGGTAGACAGCTTTTGAGAAATACCACCTGGAGTTGACTTCTGGTTAAATGTTCAACACAGACACAGACATACACACCACATGGTGGTGGTGGGGGAGGGTATAAGAATGAAGGAAAAAGAGAAGGAATGGATAGACTTACTTAACTGCCAAATGTCCATTTTTACGAAAAGCCAGAGCACTGGGATATAAAATACCACATCCCACACCAATCAGTACACTTCTCATAATACAGTTTTCCTTGCTTAAGTTACCTAGAAAGTAACAGAACAATTTGTTTCCTTTTAAGATTTAAGATAACAATTAATATAACGAAGCAGCTGTCTTTCAAAACACAGTTATTTTGCTGTTTGCAACCAAAATTAAACAGCAGAAAGGACTTTAGCAATTCGAAGTCTGGCACTTAACAGGCTTAAATGCATCTTGTTTTAAAACTATACTTGTTATACTTTAAAATATGGAGAATTATCATTTATGTTGATTTTTACAGAAGTAATATCACAGTAAGAATACTATCACATCTGATACCTGGATTCTAGGTGAATAGATACACATATTGTTTACTATGTGTCAGGTATATGTTAGGTACCAAGAATATAAACAGACCCCCCCCCTTTTTTTTTGTCAAGCGTGGTGTCACACACCTTTAATCCCAGCATTCAGGAGGCAGAGGCAGGAAGATAGAGTTTGAGGTCAGCCTGGTCTAGAGTGAGTTCCAAAACAGCCATATATATATATATAGAGAGAGAGAGAGAGAGAGAGAGAGAGAAGAGAGTGGGAGGGTGGGAGGGAGGGAGGGAGGGAAAAAGAAAGGGAGAGAGGAAGAGAGAGATACAGAGACAGATGGAGAGAATGCTTCTAGGCTTCTAGTCAGTATATTAGGGAAGGAAGTCATTAGACAAACATTAAAGAAAAAAGATAAGAGGGGCTGGAGAGTTAGATCAGCACTTGAGTGTACTTGTTGTTCTCACAGAGGACCCAGGTTTAGTACCCAGAACCCACATGGTGGTTCACAACCACTCCTAACTCTAGTTCTATGGAAGAATATCACTTGCCTTGCTTGATCAGGACTGTTGTACAGATCAAACCAAGAACAACATGTAAATGATAAAACAATATACAAATATCTGGGAGTATTATAAACATTTGTTAACGAGTAACTTTAATTTGTCATCAAATAATTTAAATTTACCTGAATGCAAAGCATCAGTTACAAAGAGCTTGTAAGTAATGATGGTAGCCAAAAATGGAAGGGTAGTCAAGTATACACAGGTCTTCAGTGCTTCATGTTGAACCTTGAAACTGTTTCTGAAAATGATGTTTGCTACTAGTCCAGACATAGCACTAGTAGTTCCAAAGTATAAAGTTCCATATATATTTAAGGTACTGATAGGACCAAAGAAAAAAAAAACCAAAATTATCATAACATTCTTGAAATGGATCTGTTCTTTCTTCAGTAGTTATAAACTATAACATATATACCCAGCATCAAATATTTCTTGTTATTAAACTATAAAAAATGACTTAAGATCATCTAAGGAAAAAAAAAGCTATTTTCACATGGATAGCCTGTCTAGAAGAGAACTATTTGTGAATTGGCCCAGATACTTTTGAAATAATTTGTCTATGGTTTATGAAACTTCATTGAACAAGATCTGACAGATTTGATTTTACCTAATTCTGGCTCATACAGGAATCAATAAAGCTGTAAAGTTTAACTGTTGTTATTCTTGAGTTACATGTGTCAGGGAGAGGGAACATGTGTACAAACATGAATGTGAGGCTGATACTGGGAACTGCACATGACTGCTCTTTATTAATTAAGGCAGGGTCTCTCAAAGTCAGAGCTCACATTAGTTTTGCCTGCCAGCTTGCTCTTCCTGTCTGTTTTCTAGAGCTGAAACTGCTGCATACCTCAAATTTCTATGGGTTTCTGGGGATCCAAAATGAAGTTCTCAAACAAAGAGCTCTGACCACTCAGTCACCCCTCATCCCAGCCTAGCTAAACAGCCTTTAATTATAATTGCTCATCAGTAAAAGATAAGTACCCTTCAAACTGTTTTCATACCAATTGCTTTTAATTCAAAAAATACTTGCACAAATAATATTTCAGCAGTAATTTTTGGTTTTTTTTTTTTTTTTTTTTTTTTTAAAGAAGCAAAAGAAGGGGACTGGCTCCCAGAACCCGCATCTGAAGGCTTACACCAGCCTCTAACTCTAGTTCTAGAGGATCCAAAGCCACTGTCTAGTTCCTCCAGCATGTGCTCATTACACAAACATACAAATAAATAAAATAAATATTATAAAAAGAAATCCAGTCTAACAAACCACTATTTCAATCCATTGCTATTTCTGTCCAGTTCTTTAAAAAAAAAGTATTCTTCATAACCAACTCAAGTAAGTAGTTTTCTTTTTTCCATGAATTAATTATTAGCTGTGTTTTCAGAACTTTCATTAAGGCATCTTTTGGAACTTCAGTGTTGCCAGTCTTCCTAAAACCCTTCTCCATATATGTGAATGTCTAGCATATTCTCCTAGACAACTGTTTAAGAGAGCAATTCAGGCTGCCATTGGAAGCAAAGTAATTGCAAGAGAAACTGTGAAAGCCTCTAAGAAAAACATTTTAATATAGTATAGTGGTGACACTACCCAGAAACAAAACTCTGAAGAGACAAACAGAAGGAGCAAAACACAAATTAGTTTCTTATAAACAATCTTTGGAGACTATAGAAAGGATGAGCAAGTAAAGTTGGTGACTCAGCTATTGCTGTGTCTCTTACGGTTTTTTATAATATTCAAGCTGTTTTTCAATGATTTCGGAGATCATTGGTCTGAATTTTGCATCCCCTAGAGAAGGAATCAGCTGACCATATGTATAAATTGCCATCTTGATGTCCTGGAAAACATGAAATTCCAGAGTTATAACAGCTAACCATAATAACTTAAATAAAACTATAAAACTATACTCAGACTAAAAGTATTTAGTCTACGAATGTTCTAGGAACTGTGGTATCCTCTTTCACAATATTTTAAGGACATGATTCAATCAATATTTACTGTGGTCTTATTGTCTGTTAAGACAATGTTTTTGTTTTTTGAGTTATACAAAATTTGGGAAAATGATTATTTCTGTGTTTACATATGTGGTGGTTTGAGTAAGAATGACCCCATAGGCTCATATATTTGAATGCTTAGTCATCAGGGAGTGGCAGTATATGAAGATTTATAAATATTAGGCGATTTGGCCTTATGTGTCACTGCGGGTGGGTTTAGAGGTTTCAAAAGTCCATGCCAAACCCAGGTGTGCTTGTCTGTGTACTCCCTACCCCCAATCAGGTTGCAAGCTGCAGGGTCACTAAAATGATACTGGACTAACCCTTTGAAACTGTAAGCAAGCCTTCAATTAAATGCTTTGTTTTATAAGAGTTGCTGTGGTCATGGTGTCTCTTCACAACACTAGAACAATGACTAAGACAACAGATTAGAAATTAGGTTTCAGAAAGCCTCTCATCATTGAGATTTTTTTTCCTTTTAGTATAGCTTTCTCTGTTCATTCCAAAAGAATAGAAGGCTCCATTCATTTACCCTCTTCAGGTAAGGGCAGAAACAGAACCTGCTTGTGGACAATGATCTCCTATCTTCTCTAATGAAAGCCTGAGCTCATTCTGCAGATTATTTTGTGGTAGGGGTGGGTAGGAGACAGCCAGGAGTGCTTTGACAAATAGAGAACAAAATCGGAGAAGAGCACTGTTCCAGCCTGGGAAGAGGCAGTGAGTGTATCAAGGTTATCTTGCACTTTTATGTTGTACATGCAGTTTCCTGGTAAGGCTGGGGTAGAAGCAAGGCCTTTGTCAGAAACAGCTATGTGGCATACCATGAAGTTTAGATTCACAGCAGTGGATTCAGGGATTGTAAGGTTCCTGTGTCCCTCGAGATAAGCAAATAACTACCAACATTAGAGAACACAAGGGCTTGGTCAATTAATTGGTGAAAAACTAAAAAATAAATTTCAAAAGGATCTTTTCTGAATGTCTGGTTATGGGTCAGACTTTTAGGTTTTTGTGGAGACATTTGTTAAATTCTTTCTTTGGTGCTCTGAAATTGTGCAGCTTAAAGTGTTTTTAATTCTATCCTTACAAGGAAATATGGACATTTCTTGCAAATCCAAACTTTTGGTTGCAAATGTTTACTTATTTCATCAGTGAGAGGTCTACTAGTTCCTCTAGCTTTTTATTTTTTGCTATACAATTTCTGGATTAGCCAATGAATAAGGATAAAGTCAAAGACTCATTACAGATTACATGTTAATATTTATAAGTTAAGAGTATATACTAAACCTCAAATTAATGAAAAAAAAAAAACCCCAAAAAATCAGTGGATCAAGACTCCAGGAAATCCACACATACAAAGTATGGTTTCCTTGATCTTAAGGTGGTATACAAGAGATCAAAAGACCAGTTTCTCTTCCTCAATACAGAATGGTATTAAGTCAGTTCTTTTTCTTTAAAATATCTGAGGAAGATGGGGGGCATAAAATGCTTTACAAATCATAAATTTTTAAAGGGACTGGACTGAAATCTTTTGCTTTCTCCCCCTCTACTATCCAAATGGAAAATGAAAGAGGAAATAGTACTTTCTAAGGAGATTCTCTACCCAATCCATCTAGTGTACCATGAAGGCACATATCAATAACACCATACGTAATCAAAACACTTTACAGAATTTTTTTTTTCTGCTCTCATTCAATTAACTGAACAGTCTTCCCCACCATTGACAGAAAATTTCCAGGCTCTTTTAACAGCTCTGTGGGTAGGGGTACTCAGAATTATGGTTGCAGGACTGTAAATACTGAAATAATGAAAAGAGAGAGCAAATATTTTTGTTATCTGGTGTTTGTAAGGCTTTCACTACACTCTCCTTGATTAAAGCAAATACAGACTATTAACTTTCCAAGAAGTTTTTTTAAAATTATTTTTGTGGTTTTGGGATAGACGCCGGGCCTTCAGGCACCGTAAGTGCTCCATTCTCATTCCCAAAAGGCTTTCAACAAGCGTTGAAATGAAGATTTTTGCCACAATCAACTTCTAATCTAAAAGTTAAGGAAGTTCAAAGTCACCCAACCGATCATATCTCCATTCTATACAATTAAGTGCTTTTGTGTAGGTGTATGGTTTGCAAAGTGTTTTACAGTGTGTTGTATTTTTAAGCATGTTTTTGACTTGACCTTCAGAATTTCACCCAACATTCTCACATGATTTATCCAGCATGTATAACAGGTTCCCAGGTAATCAAAAGGGTGAAGTCTTTAAGAATTCATCACAGCCTGGCGCTAAGTCAGGACAAACAAAATCAATAAAAAGCAGAAACTTAAACAGAATGAGAGAATTAGAGGTCCGGCAGGTGAGGCTAGGCGAGAAAGTATTCCTAATTAAAGGAAAGACTTGTAAAAGGTCCTCGAGGAATAGAAATAAGATACATTCAATCTGGAGTAGACTTCAGGTCTACGTTTTTAGGAACTACGAACTACGTCGGGACTAGTTTTCTCTATTTGCTCCTTCACGTGCACCATCTCCGAGGAGGTGACCCACACCATTCCAGGTTGTCGCCTACCTGGGGCGCTTCTCTAGCTTCCTTCAGCAACACACCAGTATCCCCGAATTCAGAGCATGCCTGCGGCTTCGACGCCGCCATCTTGGCGCCTCACGTGACTGGCCGTAGGGCGTGGCCGGAGCACCTGGGGCGGGACTTTGCAGCTGGCTCCTCTTGCTCGGTCCGCCCCCACCCAGTCATGAGCCGCGCCCTCCAGATGGGTGGAGATTGGGCGTGGCGTCCGGAAACTGCTACTGCTCATTGGCTCCGAGGAAGGCGCAGGCACCCGAGGGACCGCCTCCGGCCAGCCTTGCTTGTCCTTTGCCTGCAATTTGTCAGCCTGGCCGCCTCTTGGCCAACCTGAAGGGAACCTGGGGCGGTTCGGGCTCAGGCCTGTTGCTGCGCGCCCTCTTCTCAGGGCGGCTGGGCTAGTCGAGCGCTGGCAGCTCGCTCCTTCGGCCTGGTTGGTGTGTTAAGGCTGTGGCTTCTCGGGTTCTCCTCAGAACCTCCAACCCTCCTCCCCCGGGGCGGCCAGAGCAGCACGGACTAGCCTGCTCTTCCCAGTCTTCAGTCCCCATAGTCCACCCTCAAGCCCCGCTTGGAAAGGGTCCAGTTAGAAGTCCCCTCTCTCCTGCTCCCCAGAAGAGGCCCGGTCGGCCAGTGTTTCAGGGGTGGAGGGTGCTGCGAGGAGGACAGGCGCGCTTCCGTGCACGTGAAATGCCCAGCAGCGTCTCCCAGACCCGCAACCCCCGACCCTCCAGTCTCCATGTCTTAGACAAGCCAAATTCGAGAGTTATATAATTTCTAGTGCTGCTGTTTCTCTTGCCCGAGGAAACACTTCATCGCGTGGAGGGTGCAGGACATTTCGGTGCTCTTCTGTATAAGACCGGGGTGTGGGCAGGGGTGGCCAGCGGTGGCAGAGAAATGTCTTTTCTGCAGAAGGAAGGTGGGTAGATTGGAGAGAGACTGAGAAAGGGTGGATGTGGAAGCCAAACAGCTGCACTCCCATTTAGGATATCGCGGACTATTTGCATAGTGTGTTGGTTGCATGCCTAATACTACTACAGCGTCTCTGAAAACACCTTTGGGGTAAGGTTTGGTTTCTCCTCTCCAGCAGCCTCAGTGTTTTTCCTCGCCGGATAGGGAGCTGCTTGGATGTAAAGAGATGGCATGATGTGAATGACTCCAGTGTGAAGAAGTCTGCTTCGCCAAATCATCCTGCATCAAGTGCCCATTGAATAGCACTGTCACTTTAATGTCTCTATGCCAAGGGATTGCTCTCCTTCTTTTTCAATCCTCTTGGTTAATACATGGGAGGATCAGAATCAATGGGGCATTAAGGATCAAGCTTTGGGGGCTTGGAGAGCACAGAAGAAAAACATGAAAGTGACAAGCTGGATCCTGTTTTATTGAGGGGGTGAGATTCGGAACCATTAAATAGAAGGGGGCCTTGGCATCTCTGTTCTGCCCCAGAAAACTGTTCAAACTCGCACACCGTTTAAAAAACTAGAGTCAGATGTTTTTTAAAAAGTATTTTTGAAGGGGGGAGTTTAAACATTTTCCTAAGAACTGATGCTCTTTATTACCAACCGTTTTGATCATGTATAAAGTAACGGGACAACGACCCTAAAATGGGTTTGTGCCTTAATCGCGTTAGTAATTGAACATCCAAAAGTATTGCTGCCGGAAGAGAAGAGTTTTAAAAACATTTTCTATGCATACAATAAATAACTTCCTCAGCTTTTAAAGCAAGAACACATATTTTATAAAAATTGAAAAACATTTTTTTCTGAACACTGTGGGCAGTGTAAAATGTTTGGTTGTGGAAAAATGCATCATTATTTTCTTTATTTGAAATAGAAGACTCAGCCTGGATATCAAGGCTGAATCGTGAAGTGGTTTGCAACAGTTAACCTGGCTCCATCTCAATTCAGCTGGATCAAGCAGACACTTGCAAAGAGATCTTGAGTCCAGTATCAGTGGAGAGACCCAAGAATGCCAGTCAAGAAGAAAGGTGGGCTATGAGGTTCATATATAACATTTAATTTTCCCTTTTCTTGGCTATGGTATTTGTAATTTAAATTGTATTGCATTGGAAAGCAAAACTTTGCCTTGTTTTGAGTAAATACTCATTGAAATATCTTTTCAGTAATATTTTTCTATAGTAAGATTAAGATGATAGTATAGACATGTGAATTAATAAAGCAGGCAGTTGGCGTCACCATTTATAATTAGAATAGATTCAGTGCTATAGATTTGGGGTTGTCCTTAGTTTGTTAAAGCTCAGTTTAAATAATATTTAAAAAGGAAACTGGCACAATGGAGCCTCCTATTTATTGAAAGATTATGTAGTTGTAACAGATAGCAAAGTGATTGTGTTTAATCTGAGCAGTATAATAGCTTTATTATTTATAATTCATATTTGAGTTCATTCCACTGTAAACCTTCACTATTGTGGTAATTCACAACTATGATAATTTATTCTGCATTATTCAATAACATGTTTGGGAACTTCCCTCAAATATGGCGTGTGCTTGCTTGTTTCTTCCTTTTGATAACTGTTATCACTTTGATCAAAATCCAGTGTGGTTTCTGAAGCATCATTTATTATAGATCAGAGACCTTAGGGGTTCAATTTAGCCTAGATCTACCTGAGATGAACTTTATTACACAGGGCCTTACTGAAATCAGGCTTTTCTGTTCTTAAAGAGGACATCAGTAATAAAGTTTATAGAGTTTTGAATCAAAATTAAGAAGATCCTCGAAATTTACTGTTTTGGACTAGTACGGACACAGTTATGTCCCGTTATGTTAATTGCTACAATATTGAACCTGAGAACACCCTAAGACATATTTTCATATAAAATCTAGAGAATGTATATGGCTTTCTTATGTTGTTTAATCTATCTGCTTGTGGGTTTGGAAGATGTACTGAGAAAAATCCCAGTCAATGATATGCTTTTGTCTAAAATAGTTTATGTAAAGGGGAATAGCACCATCTAAAACTAGTGAAACATCTAGAATTGTGCTTTTGCTCTCCAGGGTTGAAAAGTATGATTGTTTCTTCCTCTATCATCCCCCATAAGACTAATGGAAAGGGTGAGCTCTCTTTCATGTTGTGGAGCTGTACCTGGTCATGTCGGACATATTGGTTTATATGCAACAAAAAAGGAAAGTTTGGGAAATGTGACCAATAAACCATGTCTTTGATTTCTTTAACTCAGTGTGTGTTTTTTTACTCTTTTTACCATTCCTGTAGACAAATTGAAATACCTTATTTCATTTTGCTTATAATTATAAATGACAGAGAGAGGGAATGCACGAGGGAGGGAGAGAGAGGAGGAGAAATCACAGTTGATGGTCTAGGGATAACTTATGTAAGCACAGTGAACTTAAGGGGCCTAAAGCAAATAGACTCAGTTTCTTGAAAGTGAATGATATTTTAAAAACTAAAAAAAATTTGTAACATTATTGAAAGTTTGTATTTCATGAGGGAATGTTACATTTGTTCTCTTTGTCTTCCTTCTTTAACAAGTGAGTTGATACAATAGGACAAAATTTTAAAGGTGATCAACAAGTTCTTCTAAAAAGGTATATATTTGAATAACACTAATGCACTTGCATGATGGAAATAATTTAATGAATTGATCTAGAGAATTTATATCATTTTAATTTTTAAAAATTGTCAGTGTTCACATACTTTAAAATAGAGACAACTAGTCAAATTATTGCATGAATTTTGCATTTTTCATTGCTAAGTTTGCTATGTCTACTGCTTCTACAATATGAGATAAGTGTTTTAAATTTTAAGTTAGATTCTATAGGTCAGACCATCCTTCCTTCTTTTGAATGCTTTTCTCAGTTTATTGCTATCTGGTATAGATGTGTGAGAAGGAACTAGATATAATGTGAAGTAGGATAATTATCCCCATGAGCCAAGTGTCTACTCATTGTCAACTATATCCTCATCAAAATGTGAAGTTTTCCTAAGACATATTTTCATTTGGTGCTTATTTTGCATATTATTTCCATAGTAGAGAGGATATTTCCTCACTGATAACCTGTGACCATGATGGGAAGTGGGAATGGGTGTTGAGATCTCACCAAGCCCATTTGAGGGGCCTATTCTTGAGGGGCCAGCAACAACTGCTCACTTCACACATGCTCTACTGCCTTGTGGCCATTGTGGCATCTTTTTCTACTTTTCCTATCCTTTCCTCTTCACGTTGTTTTTACAGACCTCAGTTTTACCAACTGAAGACTTATAACTTGTTGTTACATTTTTTCTTGAGTATTTTTTAATCCAATATTCTATGATTTATAGTAGTAACTCAATTTAATGAGAACTGGACAATCTTTGTCAAGTTTTAGTTTGTAGCATTATAGAGTTTATACAAAGTCAGATATGATGCAATAGTAGGTCGAAGAAGCTTCTTGAATTGAATGATAGAATTTCATATTGAGTTATTAATGTTGGAAAAGAAGTTTGTGATAGTTTGGGCTTCATGTTTTCAATACAAAGTTGTCATTTTAAGTTGTCCCAATGGAACTTTTTAGTGTGATGCAGTTATGTTCTTAAATATTTTTGTTATAATTATTATGTACAGAAAAGAAAATCATTCCTTTTAGTAATTGGTGATAGATGCCACTTTCATTTCTGTGATTTTGTAAAAATTCTTTAGTTGTCTTCTGGGTATCTTTTATGCTGACATATAACTACCCGATATTAATCATTTACAGGATACTTTTTCCCTTTGAATTTGTTTTTGCAGTTGTGCTCATATATAAAATGGGCATATATAAAGAGATGTTTACCATGTATTGGAACGTTTTCATATTCTTTTTTAAACAATAAATCCTTAGAAAGGAAGCTGAATATTATATATATGCTGTATATAATTTAGAGTTATAAAATGATGATGTCATATATGTTATGGGCATCCTTAACATTGAGATTTGTATTTCCTGGCCACAATCTTTTATGACCCACTGTTTCTTTTTTTTTAATTTATTTATTAGTTCTAGTTAGGGAACAAGCTTCTTTCACATGTCCCTTGTCCCTCTCCCTCTCCTCACCCCATCCCTCCTCCCCCACCCCCAGCCTACCCCCACTGCATTTACCCACCACTCCCCAGGCAGGGTAGGGCCCTCAACAGGGGCTCTGCAAAGTCCACCAA